AAGCAGACATGTTTGAGAGCACACAGGACCACCACCCAAGCTGGAACACCCAGCTCTACCCTCGTTTGAGAGCACACAGGACCACCACCCAATCTCTACCCTTGTATTAATTTCCTATTGCTGCTGTAACACATTACCACAACCCTACCACCTTCAAACAACACAAATTTATTATCTTACAGTTCAGGAGGTGAGAATTCTCACTGAAGTGAAATCAGGCAGTCAGTCAGACTGTTTTCCTTCTGGAAGCTCTAAGGGAGAATCTAATTCTCTGCTTTTCCAGCTTCAAGACGCTCCCACATTGCTTGTACCATGGCGCCTTATAATAGTCCTTATAATAGGACAATGTATTGGTTCCAGCTGGATAATCCAGGATAATCTCCAGATCATAAAATACTTAATTATGTCTGCCAAGATCCTTTTTTCCTATAGGGTAACATTCTTAGCATCCAGATATCAAGACATGTATGTGTTTAGGGAGGCGTATTACTTTCAGCTCTTATCATACCCACAACTGTCTTCCCCTAAAGTAAAACAAAAAATCACAAAACAGATTTATGAAGCAAGAGAACTAGAAGAAATCTGAGACTGGGCTTCAGAAATCTGGAGCCTCTGTTCTATGGTTGTAAGGGCTGGAGCATTCTTAATCTGCTGACTGTGGTACTGATGTCTTGATGTGTAGCTATGTGTTAGAGGACCCTTTGATTTTGTGACCCAGAAGAAACAATTCTCTGCTCAAATTAAATCTAAGAAAGATTACTAAAGGGGAATTAAATGTCTGAATTTTCTGAATTTTTCTGGCCACCAAATATGAAGAAGTGGCAAGAATTCAGACTAAAGGTACCCTCTAAGAATCAGGATTTGTCCACTGTCTTAGGTTAAGTTCACCGGTGACAAGAATTCCCATTCAGGCTGCATATTTACAAACTGCCACAGACACTGCAAAGAAGGAGGAAAAGTGAGACAGAGAAGAAAAGATGACAGTAATAGGCTGTCACTTGATGAGGGTGACTGAAACTCAAGCCCAGGTGGAAACACGAACACAGGA